TATATATATATATTTGGTCATCTCTGCCAGCTCTGACTTGCAAACTTGATTTGCAAAGTATTTATGCTGAGGACTTCTTACAGTCACAAAATGCAGAGTGTACTTCAGTACAAATCACTGCTTGGGCCCATTAGGTATTTAAATTCCCTGACTTCAGTGCTGGTATATTCAATAATGTGAGAGCATAATCCAAAGGACTGTGTTCATGGTCATCTACAGGTGATCTTCGCTCCCAGTTGTTCCTTTCTACTTACTGACCTCCAAAATTGTAGCCTTGGCTCATGAGCATGGACCTCTGCATGTTTAAGTCACTTGTCGTGGATCAGTACTGCCTCATTTTACCTGTTTTTTTTTTAATGGCTAAAGCTTTGATTTGCTGAAAACAGGAAGATTTGGGCAGTAATGGGAACATAGAAGAACTTGTTAGGTAAAAAGGGAATGTCATATTTTCATATGGGAAATTAAAATATTGGTGAATTACTTGACATATAAACTGCACTAGGCAGGATGATGGAGAAGAAACATGTGTCCCTGAGGACTAAATCCCCTTGTGATCCCACAGGGGATGCCACAGGCTGTTGTGTGGATGTTTCTTAATTATTTCCTGTTAAACAGCAGAAGGTTCCTTATAGAATGCAGCACTGTCAAAGTCCTGATTTCAGATGAGATGATCTCAAATTGTGTTTTCTCAGAATGCTGTGAGGTACTTAGACAAAGAGAGTTGCAGAGAAATTGAAGAGAATGGATGGCTAAAAGAAGAGGTAAGAGGATCACTTGTGTACATATGATCATGGTAGTTCAGCTTCCCAAAACCGTGGCCTACTTCCAGTGATGGGCCTTCCAAGACTTCCAAAGGAAAAAGAGAGCAGTTTTCCTGTAATTACTCAGCAATCCTGAGTAGCAAACAGTGTATGTGGTGAATAAAGGTAAAGGTGAACATCTATGTTCATAAATGAAGGACCCATTTTCCTGCCCAAGCAGTTACATGAAGGACTACAACGTTCCACACAATTAAGTATTTGTATCTACAGAGACTGGGATACTCTGTAGTGTAAAGTCTCAGCCAAAGTATCTGAAGAGTGTACATTTGAATTGCATTAAAGTTCTGGTGGTACTGGATTGAAACAAGAAAGCTGGAGAGGGAATTTTTACAAGGATCTGTAGGGACGGGACAAGGGGGAATGTCTTTAAAGTGACAGAGGGGAGATTGAGATTAGATATTAGGAAGAAGTTCTTCCTTGTGAGGGTGCTGAGGTGCTGGCATAGGGTGCCCAGAGAAGCTGTGGTTGCCCCATTCCTGGCAGTGTTCAAGGCCAGGTTGGACACAGGGGCTTGGAGCAACCTGCTCTAGTGGAAGGTGTCCCTGCCCGTGGCAGGGGTTGGAACTGGATGAGCTTTAAGTTTGTTCTCTCTCCAAGCTCTGATGTAAAAGCAAGAAAGAAAAATGCAGAGCTTCTGCCTACCCGACCTGAGTGGCTACAGGAGAAAGTTTTGCTCTCAGGGTTGCAAAGCCCAAATGTGTGGCTGTGACTGACAGAGTTGTGCCAGTAAAGGGCTCTAAGAAAGGTGTGAAAGAACCAGGGAGGCCTTCCCTTGCCTGAAAATGTGTCACTCTGTTTCTCCACCTGATACAGCAAAGTATGTGCTATTAAGATAATCACCATGAAATCTTTCCACAATGGGAATAGCTTTTCTAAGATGATCCTTTTTTCTTTTCCTTCATTGTCAAAAGGTTAAGCTGTACCGAAAGGAAGTGAGTGATTTGAAAGCCTCCATTCAACTCCTGGAAGAAGAAAATATCACTTTAGTGGCAAAACTGGTTGATAGCAGACTTGAGTATCTAGGAGTACCCAGGTAAAATGAAGCCTTGACAGACTTCAGAAGTGATTCATCTTTTTAAAAGATAATGCTCCCTCTAAAGCTATTTGGGCTCTCCTACAGCAAAGCCAAGGTAGTTTCCTAGTTGAGAAGAAGCAGGATTTCACTGAGTATGCGTGGGACTTGTATCTCTGAAGAATGCCAGTGACATTGTAACCTCCTCAGTACCACAATCCAGAGAAGAAACTGGGTTCTTTAATAACCTCTTAAGACCTAACAACACTCTTTTAATGGAGATACCACTGGGGCTTTGGAAATAGTTTCTTTCTGTCATAATTGTCTCAGACCAAGTGCTGAGTAATAGATTTTCCCTTTTCTGTTGGCAAAATGTTTAAGGATATGAAGATTAATATACAAATATATGGTGTTTCACAGTCTCAAGTGAAACAGATGACCTGGTACTAAGTAAGGAAGGGGCGTTGGGGTAAGTGTCTGTAGTCTTAGCTTCTTTTGTTTTGAAATTAACTTGTTCCCTAGAGAAAGATGAATTTGGCTGCAAAATGTCAACACAAATAGTATCAAAAGCACAGTATAACAATGGGAGTGATCCATCTCCATTTTCCAGTCCCAGCCCAGTGATTTCAGCCATATTGCAGAAAAAGGTTCCAAGTCTTAAGAAGTGACCATTTTTCTCTCCTCTCCAAACTTTGGACTGTTTTTAAGTGAGAGGTGCCAGCTGTGGTTTGAATCTTGGACTGACTGGAGACTCTAACATTTGTTTTCTTTTAGTCCCATGGACATAGTTGAACTGAGGCACTAAGAGTAAGAAAGAGCAGCTTTTTAGCCACTAAGCTACCTGGCTGCCTCAAGTGCATTTTTAAACCGTTGCACTATTCTGCCTTTGTGGTTAAGCAGCAAATGGTTTTGAGAAAGGGTGTCGTCCCCCCAAAACATTGCACAGGACAATTCAGAAAGCAAATTCAGGCCTTTAATATGAGTTTTTCTTTATCTTTTTAATTCCATAGGCATCTTGCTGCTGGCTTGCCAGATGAGTTTCTTAAGGATGACATGAAAGCAGTAGAGTATAGTGAGTATGCAGGTAAGGTACATGCAGCTCCCAAGAACTGATAAGTTACTGAGCATTTATATACTTTTTATTTCTTTAGTATCAAAATGCCTGTTTGACAAGGTGAACACTTGATTTCCCACCTAACTGCAGCCACCACAGCAATGACAGACTGTAGTTGGTGTTAAGAAGACAAACCCATAATCTATGTGTAATACAGTCTTAAAATTGAAATTGATGTTTGAATTGTAGAATCTAGAGCTAGCCTGGAATGTGAGTAACAGGACTGGCCATCTTTTATGAAGATATGATTCATATTTTAATCATAGAATCACAAAATCACCAAATCCCAGGTTGGAAGGGACCTCAAGTACCATCTGGTCCAACCTTTCTTGGCAAAGCATGACTTAGACTAGATGTCCCAGCACCCTGTCCAGCTGAATCTTAAAAGTGTCCAACACTGGCGAATCCACCTCTTCCCTGGGGAGTTTATTCCAATCGCTGATTGTTCTCACTGGGAAACATTTTGCTTTTGTGTCCAGTCAGAATCTCCCCAGGAGTAACTTGTGCCCATCACCCCTTGTCTTTTCCATGTGACTCCTTGTAAAAAGAGAGTGTCTGTCTTTTTAGCCACCCTTTAACTACTGGAACATGGTGATAAGGTCTCCCCTAAGCCTTCTTTTCTCTAGGCTGACCAGTCCCAGCTCTCTCAGCCTTTCTTCCTACAGCTTCCCAGTCCTTGGATCATCTTTGTGGCATTCTCTGGACCCTCTCCAGCCTGTTCTTTACAGATCCATGTCATCATAGCTACATTATATCTTGTCCTGCAAGGTTACTCTTGAACTCTACACTGGCTTTCGCTTGCAGTGTACATGCACTTTACATTCATTCTGCTCACTGAGGTACACTGAAGTTAAATGATAAATAAACCCTTAGCAAGAGCAGATGAAGCTACGTGGAGCTCAGCCTGAACTGAACATCCCGGTAAGCAGTACTGAATTTGGGGCTGAACCTCCACTTATTCCGGTAGGTATGCCCAGCAAAAGGATGTACCATTAAGCAAGAAGAACCACGTGAGCATGCTTATCTGTTTAGAGTGTTTTCTATGGATTCCTTAGTATCACATGCTTTATTTTACATCTCTGGGTGAGGAGAAGAAAGGACAAAGTTAAATCAAAGAGGTAAGCTGCAAAAGCTGAAGCCCTACACTTACAGATACATGATGAGGTCTGTTGAAGTTCTGACCAGTTGCAGCCACAGATGGACCTTTCTGGAACTATCAGGCACTAACAAACATGTTGACTAAGACTTCTGGATTGGCTATATGCTTATTTTGAGCAGTTCACCTCTATTACCTTTGCTAGACCTTCACAGTAGTTACTGGGAGAAGTAGATTTTGTTCCAATAACCTGGAGTCAAGTCCTTGTCCCAGGCAAACATGTACCTTGACAGTCCATGTCCAGAGCTGAGAATTAGTCAGCTGCAAATGTGAGCTCTTCAGGGGGGTTAGAACATGACTGTGTTTCAGGAACTTGTGTATATGCACATATAGAGATACATACATGGATATAGAGAAAGTTTACACTTGGTTTTGCTGCCTTTCCTATTTTAACTCTTTAGGGCTATACAGGATTTAAGTTGAACTGATAAAAGGTAATCTTTCCCCCTGCTCTGTCCCACACACCCATTACTTCTTACTTCTCAATCAATTTGAGTCTCTGATGTTGATCAGAAATTGTGAACAGAAATGAACATAGGAAAATGAGTGAGCAAAAGCCACATTTGGCTTGGATTGCCAATGAGAAGTCTTCCCAAGCTGTTCTTTGCATTGCACTGGGCAAGACACATTAAGGATTGAACGACAATGCTCATACCACGTACTAATTCTGGTCTTCATAAAGCTTAACAATTCCATACACATCATCATTCTTCTCTTTAAACAGCAGAGGCAGATGGAGCTGAAAGCCTCAGAAGTGCCACAGAGCCCTGTCAGAAAACAAAAGCCTTTCCAAAGATTCAGTCTACATCAGACAGTGAGAAGCCCCAAGAGAGTGATGAGAAGATATCGGAACAGTCACTCACTCCAACCCTGGGCAGCCTCTCTTATGAAGATGAAAAAGATTTCCAGGTATGAATTCAAGTAATTGGGTCTCTCACTGGCACATCTTTCAGTTCAGAGCATGAGCTACTGCCAGGAGGGTTCTGTTCCCAGTGGTGTCATGGCAGAAGAACCTCCCATCTCTTTACCAAGTATACAATTCAGATGTGTAACCATAGGCACATGGTGCTATTTGAGGTGGTAAGGACAGACATTGTCCTTCAGATGCTGGGCCAGAAGAGCATGGGTTCTGTGTCATACCAGCCAGCCTCCATGGTTTGGATAACTTAGTGCATTTCTGATATCACAAGACACATCGTTTTGGTGTCTTAGGAATCAGCACACATGAGTGTCAGGATGAAATTCCCCCTAGAAAGAATTCTGGATGTCACCATCTGTGGATTGCACGGACTTGTTTGTTTCAATGATGGTCCTTCAGAATTTGTGTTGCATAGTAGCATTAAAGGGTCAACAAGGAATGTATTCCTTCAACAGAAAGCCAGGATGAAGGTGTTCCTGTTGCAGAATACAGGGATTGAGAGTATAAAAAGGTACAGATTATATGTAAATAGGCAAAGAGATCTCCTAAGGCAGGTTCAAAAGAAGTGGTAGCCCCTGCCTTCAGAGATCCTTGACCCCAGGCTGCAAAAAGAGGGTTCCTGGGTGCCTCTGATTCTACACTCGAGTCATGAATTACAGAGTCCCAGACTGGTTTGGGTTGGAAGGGACCTTAAAGCTCATCCAGTCCCAACCCCCTGCCACAGGCAGGGACACCTTCCACTAGAGCAGGTTGCTCCAAGCCCCTGTGTCCAACCTGGCCTTGAAATGAAATGAAAACTTGAACACATTTCTAAATAAACTAAGTACTCTCAGAAAATATATTGCTCTACATCATTGATTTCTATTGCAAATGAAAGCAGATGATATAGACATGGTGCAGACTGCATGGCTTGCTGTGTATAGATACTCCTCCAGGTTTCTTTACTCCTAAATATTCTATTCAAACTTACTCAGTAATGAGTTTTGGTGGGGTTTTTTTTGAAGAAAAAGACCCACAACAACTTTTTTCCTAGAAATTTGCCATTAGTTTGATTAATACCCTGCAACTTGTATTCAGAGAAATGATCCTGTTGCCTTGATCAGAGACTAACTTAAGGAGTGGCTCTGTCCTGAAAAGTCATACAGAGAAAAGATGAACATTTAACCAAAAGACAACTCCCCAGGTGTTTGTTTCCTTGCCCATGTTGCCTTGGGAGATGAACACTCACTTTACTTCTCTCTCCCTGCTGTTAGCACTGCAGAGCCCACCCTGCTGAGGGCTGTAGGTGCTGCTGACAGTCTTATACTTCCCAGGAATGAAGGTATAATTGCAGACAGTGGAGATGCATTAGCAACTATCAAGAACCCATTCGTTAAACAGAGGTGATTCAAGAGGTGCACTGTAGGGTTCCTCCTTCCCTCTCCCTGGCCTTGGCCATGTGTTGCTGCTCCTGCCCTTAGGGAACCCATAGTGCACACTGGCCTTTCCTGGAGCTGATTCAGTCACCAACCCAGCATCAAAACTTGCCTTTTCTTCTCCTCCTGACTTAGTTTTCTGTTGGGTTAGTCAAGCAAAGTGAGTCAGAGGTTTGGAGAAGACCAGCGCCAGCACAGACGTGGTGGAAGCACGCGGCTGGACTTGGACCTCTCTCTTTTGGCAGCAGTGAGCTGTTGAATTAGGTTAATTCTTCTCACAGACCTGAACTTGAGACAGAATGTGCTTTGCAGAGAAAGGGGTATAGATGGAAACAAAAAAAAAGGGCTGCAGCCTCCTAAGATGAGCTGGCTGCTAAACCAAGCCTATTAACACAAACATTACCCAAGGCACAACCCCAGGGCAGATCTTTACCATTGCTTTATAAAGGAAAATTAATGGGGTTTTTTTGTTTGTTTTTGAAGAAAACTGCTTTTCTATGTAATTGCACAAGAATAATATTCTTTCTTCCTAAGGAACAATTAGAACTGGAGACAAAGCTGATGTGTGTGATTGGAAAAGCTATGCCTATTCATAAACAACCAGAGGAAATGCCAAGCAGGAGGGACACAGAAGATGGCATGGGCCATAAATCAGACAGACACATCACAGCTCGGATGATCAGGGCCTTGTCTAAAGAAAAGGTTGGTTAAGAATAGACAAGCTGTGCTGCTAGCCTGAGACTGTAACATTCTCAGTTCATTAAATATTTGCTCTGTTCTTCAAGGAGCGTGTGGCACTGGGCTTTGTGGAAACTTTTTGAGTGCCTGAATCATGATTTACAAGTGTAAGTTTAATGCGAGGTACATCTGTGTGCAGATGGGCGATGGAGAAGGTGCTTTCCTCATCAAAGAGAGAGCTCTTGTGCACTTTATGGCCTTTTCAGTCATAGAATCACAGACTAGTTTGGGCTGGAAAGGACCTTAAAGCTCATCCAGTTCCAACTCCTTGCCACGAGCAGGGACACCTTCCACTAGAGCAGGTTGCTCCAAGCCCCTGTGTCCAACCTGGCCTTGAACACTGTCAGGGATGGGGCAGCCACAGCTTCTCTGGGCACCCTGTGCCAGCGCCTCAGCACCCTCACAGGGAAGAACTTCTGCCTAATGTCTAATTAGAAAATTTTCCTTATTTTCTTAATGTCTAATAGGAAATGTCTAATGAGCCCACGTAGCTGCACGTATATCTAACAAAGGATTCAAGTGAATGCTTAGTTTCTGTGGTCCCCACTTGCAGTCTGTTACATACAGAATTCCTTCTGGATCAGACCCCGAATGGGTAAATGCAGACTGCCATAAAATGTACAACTGTTACAAAATACTTCATACTCTGCTAAGGCCAAATCTAGTGTATCCGAGTATAACTCAACTATTGTTAGCAATTAAATGTTTGAATGCCTTTCATCTGTCTCCATAACCCCTTACTTAAATACATCGAAATAACAAAATACTAATTGGAAAAAAGATTAAATAAACAGCATAAAAAATCATCAGTGTCTTAAATATATTTTAAAATTTACCAAATATGTTGTCTGAGGCTGTCTTTGGTTTGTGGCTGGTCTCTATGAAAACATAGTACTTGGAGCACTGGTGCAGTTCTGGTGTCCTCAACATAAGAAGGACATGGAGCTGTTGGAGCAAGTCCAGAGGAGGCCATGAGGATGAGCAGGGGCTGGCGCAACTCCCGTATGAAGACAGGCTGAGAAAGTTGGGGCTGTTCAGCCTGGAGAAGAGAAGCTGAGTGGAGACCTCAGAGCAGCTTCCAGTGTCTGAAGGGAGCTACAAGGATGCTGGGGAGGGACTCGTCATCAGGGACTGCAGTGGTAGGACAAGGGGTGATGGGTTCAGACTTAAACAGGGGAAGTTCAGGTTAGATATAAGGAAGAAGTTCTTCCCTGTGAGGGTGCTGAGGCGCTGGCACAGGGTGCCCAGAGAAGCTGTGAATGCTCCATCCCTGTCAGTGTTCAAGGCCAGGATGGACAGAGCCTTGGGCGACATGCTCTAGTGAGAGGAGTCCCTGCCCATGACAGGGGGTTGGAACTAGATGATCTTAAGGTCCTTTCCTACCCAAACCAGGCTGGGATTCTATGACCTCAGTGCATTGATTTGGTGGGGTTTTTCCACTCTCACTGTACATCCTGGACACCCTGCAGGCAGACACAATGCAGTGTGTCCTGTGTCCCACAGGCACAGGCAGCCTTCTGACCTGTGCATTTCCACTTAGAAACTTGTGAAAGCATCAAAGAACCTGATTTAAACCCTTGATGGGTTAATCAGCTGTGAGGAACCGAGCTTTTGAAAAGAAACCTTTTAAACAACCTGCATCTCTCCAGTGTCTCAGAGTATCCTGTAGCTAGCACAAACCTTTCTCATTTCTCAAGCAAGCTCAGGTGTCCTGCCCAGCTGGCATGTCCATGAGGCACTGCCTCCAGCTCCTCAGACAGCGGGCTCACAAGCAGCCAGGTAAAGGAAGGAGCCTTAACCTCAGACTGAATCTCTTGTTCACTGCCATGTAGTAAACAGTTAAATGAGTCTGGACATGTCCCTGCTGTAACCCAGCTGAGTTACTGCCAAGCCTGAGGTGATCCTAGGGCTCGAGTGGGCAGAGAATGGGGATCCCTGTGTGCAAGGGGGTCATGTTTTCAGCATAACAGATGCCTCCCATCAGCCACACTGGCTTTCTTGAAGGGCAAGACCTAGGAAACAGCTTCCTTGAAAGAGAGGTTAGTTCTGCTCAGTGATTAGTTCGGATTTTGGTTTAGCTGCACGACTAGAATATGGCTGATGCTGAACAGCTTTTCAGTCAAAGAAAGGCCTGTCCTTCCCCCACCACTCCCCAAAAGGCAGCAGGGAGATTTAGATTCGATATAAGGAAGTTTTTCCCTGTGAAGGTGCTGAGGCACTGCACCATTCCATGACCCCCTGCAGCTCCCACCTGCATGACCAGACCATAAAGTGATGTGACCCAATTGCTTGACCCTGCAGGGAAGCTGCTCAGAGGGTTCAAACCAGTGCTGTGCTGTGCTGGGATAAGCAGGTACCTGGCTCACCTGAGGGAGCGCAGCCTCACAGGACACACCATCCCCACCATGCTTTGTAGGCATTGATGTTTCTCAGTCCCAGCACATGGACTTCTGTAACAATGGCTTTTACTACCACACACATATAACTTGGGTGATGCTGGTATTTCCTTAACTTTAAATTTCCAGTGAGCACTTGTGAGTTTGGGGTTTTTTTCCTATTAAAACTGTGAGTTGTGTGCCAGAGAAATCCATAACTCCAGCTCACCTGAGACTTGGCTTGGACTATAGTTGTGGGAACAGACAGACTCTTCCCTGCATCTTGTAGCTGAACTGGTGTGTCCTATAGTTGACTTGCACAGTAAAGAAAAGGTATCTCACGAAGCTGGGGGTTTAAGGGTGACTCCTGTGGGTTTTGCCCTAACCGAAGCAGGGAGCCCTGACTCCCCTTGTTGGAGCAGGAGGTGGAAGCATGGGCCGTGCTGCCAGAAAGTGAGTGATCAGCCTCTGCTTTACAACATGTTGCTCCTTTCTGAGAGCTTATGCCAGTAACAGATTCATCAAATCCAGATGTGTCAGTGGCTGAAGACTCAGCCTTCCCCATATGAAAGCCTTACACTGGCCTTCATGCTAATCCTGTAGGAATCAAGGGTGATTTGGGACACTTCACTAAGTATGTTTTGCTACAGGCTGCTCCCTCTGGCTCATGCAGGCTGCCTGTGGCTTGTACCCAAATTAGTGTCTCTCACATTTCTTTTTAACTCCCTCTCACCCTCCCAGGCCTGGATGGGAAAAGGCTGAACAGCGACTGGAAGAGGTGAAAGTTCTTTTTTCTGAGGTACAAGTTTATGTTGTCCTGCCCGTAGGCATTACAGGTGTAAGGGAAGAGACGGGCCCTACATTTACGTCACTAGAAAATATAAACCATAGAATCCCAGACTGGTTTGGGTTGGAAGGGACCTTAAAGCTCATCCAATTCCAAACCCCTGCCACGGGCAGGGACACCTTCCACTAGAGCAGGTTGCTCCAAGCCCCTGTGTCCAACCTGGCCTTGAACACTGCCAGGGATGAGGCAGCCACAGCTTCTCTGGGCAACCCATCCACCCTCAGAGCAAAGAATTTCTCCCTAATGTCTAATCTCAATCTCCCCTCTGGCAGGTTAAAGCCATTCCCCTTGTCCTGTCCCTACAGGCCCTTGTCCAAAGCCCCTCTCCAGGTTTCTTGTAGCCCTTTTAGGCACTGGAACTTACTCTAAGGTCTCCTTGGAGCCTTCTCTTCTCCAGGCTGAACGATGTTGGTTACTTAACTTCTGGTGTGGTTGCTGCAAGGTTTGCATCCTCTGCTACCACCGGGTTATACAACAAGGCAAATGTTCCGCAGGTTCAGACCTGCATGTTTAGGGAAATGAGAGTGGGAGACTTGTTCTGCAGTATTTGTTCTTGTTTGGCTGCTTCCTGAGAGAGAAGTTATTAAACACTCCGCTCCTGTGGGCTGAAAGGAGTTTGCCAGAACAAGGTCAAGGCAGAAGGTAATGGACTGTAAAGTTACACTGCAGTGACAAGCAAGGAACAGGAAATCTAATGGTATTAATGTCTCAAACCACTGATGTTTTGTAACTGGATGTTCCTCTGAAAAAGCCCTTGGATTTTAAGTGGACTGTGAAAGCACGGATGTTTCTCTGGAATACAACACTGCAGAGCTTGTGTTCAGCAGATTACCCCAAACACGGTGTTGTTTTAGGATGTGACACGGCAACAAGATGCCAACAACTGTTCCCATATGATCCATTTCAAAGCCAGGTTGGACACAGGGGCTTGGAGCAACCTGCTCTAGTGGAAGGTGTCCCTGCCCGTGGCAGGGGGTTGGAACTGGATGAGCTTTAAGGTCCTTTCCAACCCAAACCATCCTATGATTCTTTATGGTCCATCACACATCTCCACTGAGCCATGGAAAACTGGGACTTGACACGGTGCTGGAACTTTTCCTCACTTTTAGCGGTTGCAGAGCAGCAAGAGGCTATAAAAACCAATAAACAAATATAAACCAATATCAAATAATGCTTTTCTAGAAAAGCAGGACTTGGGCACTTGCTGTAGCTGGTAGGAGAAAGTTGAGCAGTTACCACCAAGATCCACACCATGAAAACAACCACAAGACCCATCTCTCCTCCCCTAGTGCAGCTGCCGGATACCCAGAGCCACGTGCTTGCAGCCAACAGCTTTTCAGCACCGTTATCAGCTCTCACACAGGACTTGTAAGGGAGCCAGCTGGTTGTTCCAAGGCCTTTGATCTTTACCTCAGGAAATGTCCTCAGCAGAGAAGCAAGAATAGAAATAAGAAATGTGTTTTACTCAACTCATCGACCGATTTGGACTCGATGATCTTCAAGGTCTTTTCCAATCTAGTTGATTCTATGATTTGTTATCTTGGGCAAGACATCTCCCATAGGCGAGATGGACATAGTCTTTACTCAGCCTTCAGATACAACAGGGTGCCAAGTGGGTGGCAGCAAAGTTGTACCTTCAGGGAAACCTGCTCTAGGTTGTCTCCTCCTCCCTCCTTCTCCTGCTCTAGCCAGGACATAGCCTGTTCCTGTTTGAACATGGAGAAAACAAACATCAGGAAACTCAAGGTATTCATCAAGAAACATCAAGACTTTCTGCTCTCTCTGCCACAGCACAAGTGAGCTGCAAAGATCAAGTCGAAAGGTTGCCAACAGGCCAAGGAGGAAGCTCTTGTGTGATCTACACACGCTGCCGTCGATGCTTTGTCTTCCGCATTTGGCACATTACTTCACTACCCCTCATGTTACCTTGTCAATCTTCCACCTCTATCAGCACTTACTATTTCCCAGTGGGTTTTGGCACTTCATTCTCACTCTTCTGCCCCAGCCTTCAAGCTGTAATTCATGTCACTACGAAATTCAGGTCAGGCTCTGGGAAGAGGCACTTCTTGCGTGAGGAGAGCTGCAGGGCAGCACCTCAGCCCTTCCTCTTGCTGAAGGGCTGTTCAGCAGCTGCGAGAGGCCGAACCCACCAGCTGACAGCACAGAAGCAGCAAAAGAATCGAGATGGGCCTTCAGATGAAGATTCTGCACTTGGGCTTTTAGAAAACCCAGGAAGTTACCAGCTCTTCAGGGTCTTCTGGCAAAAGTAATTCTCTTCGGAGGTAAAGCCAATGGTTTCAGTTATACAATTCTTGGATTAGTTCCCTCTACAAAGCTTTAAGAGGAACCACATCCCTCTAACAAAGCACTCCATCCTCCGATGCATGCAAAGAGCAGGCAGCTTTCCCAGCCAGAGTTTGCTCTTTACATTAAGTAGTGTCTAAACTCAGTCTGGAGGAGAACCAGGTTTTCACAACCCCCCTGATTCAAAATGGCCAGTAATCCAAAAGAAACCAGTCTAGGAGTTATGCTTTTTAAACTGAGCTACACCCGAGTGTTGATCCAGCACCACTGAAAAAGCAAACATGCTGATGAGGAACAAAGTAAATGGGATTGGGAATTTTCCTCAGGAAAATTGTCAAGCCAGTTTATTTCTGAAGAGTAAACCAGAAGTAAGGTTTATCAGCAAGGCTTCACCTGCACAGCAGCTGTGAGCAAGCAGCGAAGGGACTGATTCATCATCCCTGCAGAAGAGGTTGGGTTGTTGGGGACTTTCGGCACCCACTTGACTTGTGACCTCAGGGCCACAGCCCCACAGAGCAGGGCCAAAGGATCAAAACCACCCAAAAGCTAAACAAGCAGATCTGTCCACAGCCAGTCATATCAGAGGTTGAAACCACTGCACTGGGAGCATCACAGACCAAGAGGTGACAATGTTGGTGTCTGTTTTTACCATGACCCAGCCCACCAGGCTGTGGAGCAGGAGGAAGGTCTAACCTTCATCTTTCACACCAGCTCTGGCCTGTGTATGTAACAGGACACAGAGACACCTTTTCTCCAGCTGACCCCCAAATCAGACAACTCCCATTTTTGACATTCTGAATGCGAGGCAAAACTAAGAGGAGTCTGTGCTCTGGTGGGACAGTCCCACAGCGAGAGCCTCAGCTGCAGGAAGGG